CTGCAGCCAGTCATAATAATCAAAATCATCTCTAACGGCGATCATCAGCTGGGCAGTCTCATTCCCTTTTGTGAAACTAGGAGGCCGATTAAACCAAAAAGGGAGTTTCATATGATGTATCGTGTCTGTGCTACATATTGCTGCTGCTTACCCTATTGCCCCCCCCCCTCCCCTCTTCTTACCAATCAGCTGACTGTCAGCCGGTGTAGTATCAACACAAATGTCTGATTCAGCACACTGTCACTCTCCTTCTCTTACCTTCTCTCCACCTATCTATGTCTCTTTCTAGCAGCGGAGGCAAGAAAATACAGACACACTCATATCACGTGTATTGACTTCCATCACAGATATAGGGAATCCCTTCTTTTTTCGGAGGCTCTTTATCAACCGACCTTTCTTTCTTAACTTTTTTCATCTCTTCTATCTCTTTCACGAGTCATTTTTCGCGCATGGGGAAGAAAGTGCTAGCCACTTGAAATGTTGCAATTCCTCGAATCTATCTTTCTCTCATTTCTTCACTTTTCTTGAACTTTCTCCGTTTTTTGGGTCCACTGCGCAAGTACTGGCGCCGAGACTCCGAACGGTGCTTGTCACCACCTGGCACCTTCCAACAAGTACAAATAAACTATGGAAGGGATTGAGAGAAACAGAGACAAAAGTACAAACAGTACGGTATACTACGTAGTAATAGCAATATTAATAGTGCAACTCTCGCTTTCTTTTTCGGTTTTTTTTGTTGCGCACCCTCTTCACACATATGACGGTATTGTGTATTGCTCGACTCCCAGTTTTAATGGTATCATGAAGCCGATATATTCGCCGCTCTCCGTTTGCACGCTTAACACCATGTCATCATCGCCAGCATGGCGGCCCGGAAAGAGGAGGGGGAATTCGAAGTGATAGTTTTGCACCTAGTAGGTGGAGCCTGAAAAGTCATGTGATTGATGAGTTGTTCTCTATTGTTCTTCTTCTTTACTCCATGAGGTAGTCATGATGCTCCTGCATTCTTCAAAGAGTATCTGGGTTAGTTGGTTCAGTTGTATACGATGATTGAGAGAGAAAGAGAGAGACTCCCGGGAAATATAGTGTAAAGCATCTTCTCAGATCACCTCTCTCTCTCTCTCTCTCTTGCTCATCTTCCGATCCGTTTTCTATTTTCTCTCATTTCGTTTTTAGTTTAGTCGCCCTGAGTGACAAAAGTTCTTTCTCTTTTTTCTTCTTCTTAACGTTTCAAAAGGTCAGAACTTTGATCTTATAAGCTTCATATTCTCGGGACCTTCTTCTCATTTTTCGTCATGCATCAGCAGTAACAGATGTCATAATCTGTACTAGAAGTGATGATGAAGTATGTCAGGTGTCCATATAGTAGTAGAAATGTTGGTGATGTATCTTTTAGATTACTGTAGACCATCCAAGACAAGAGAGCCGCTTGGGGGTAGATCGGAAGCGGCACTAGTAGAGACATGTACAAATATCCTCCGCCTACTATTATTCTAAGCTTGATCAGTGCCAAATTGGAATGCACACACATTAATTGACATACCAGTGCTCTCAGCTAATACAGTGTGTCCTAGAGCTCCTTCTTCTACCGATGTTGCCGACTTCTCGACCTGTATTTGTATAACCTTTGTGTCTAAATCTCCGCCCTCTCTCTACCTTTTCCCCACTTGGCTTCGTTCCAAATCAAACGAACCCGCATACACACATTCCTCTTGTGTGTATGTGTGCAAGAGGACTGAATTCGAAGTGGGCGGGCCGGCACAGTGTTCTTCGTCCTTTGCTCTTAAAGGACAGTTTGCACCGCCGCGCGGATATGAGTACCTCCGCGACTTTTGCTCCTTTATCAAAATCGCGTGGTTATCCCTTCGAATTCTTGAATTCAGAATTAGATCGGACTTCTCGAAAAGTAACCAAGAACGCGCATGACCAGATTCTAGAGAGAAGCCTGATTTTCGTGTTTTCACAAATTTCGGAAATCACTAAGAATCATGTTCAGACCAGGATTAGATCAAAATTCTGGGATTTAAATATTTTGGTTGCACACTCTGCTCATCGCTCCTTAGATTTTAGCCGATCCCTCGTTTAGTAATAATATCACTGGCTATGATTAAAACCGCGTCTTTTATAATCGGATCTTGGCACTTGGCCAACACTTCCTGTTGTTATACTGAACCTCCATATATCTACATCTGTATGCGATATATTTATTTACATGTAGTTGAGTGAATCTCTCATCTCAATAGGCATTCATTGCCGCTCTTTTTGGTATTAGTCACGGTCTTGCCAAATCCTCTTTTCACACTTTCTACTGTAAAAGATCCCCACCACGCGGTACAGACTTAAAGGGACGTAGACCTCCCATTCTCCAAAAGATAGGCAGTTTTCTGTGTGTTAGAGGCAGTCAAAACGACAGCCGACATTCACATTTCGACGGGTCCTGACGATTTATGTGCCTTTATTCTAACGGAAGAAAGGACGAAGGAGGTGGCGCCTACAAAAGTACATGCTAAAAGTGCAAGTCGTGTGAGTGTTGGCCGGTCGCCAACCACCAGTCACTTCCTCCCCTTTTTTCAGTTCGTTTTTTTCCTACGGACACTTAGAAGGAGGCAATGTAAATTGCTATTATTCGCTTCTTATTGTCTTCGTTGGTGTCGTCGTCGTCATCGTGGAGACGGTGCAAACGACGTAGATACCGGCCACGACGCCAAGGGCGAAAAGTCACGCGTCGAACATAGACCACCCAGCTGGAGGAAAAAAGAAGACGTACCACTCTGTGGTCTTTCTTCCCGTACGCGTGCGCGCGCGGGAAATCTTGCCTTCACGCAGGTGGTACCAGGCCACGCCCCAATCATTTCTCCTTTCCTTCCGATTTCCTTTCTCACCTCCTTTCTTTTTTCCCGCCACGATCATCTTCTTCCTCCGATTCTCATTTGCCGTCTTAAGCGGTGGCACTGTCCTTGGTGGGAAGAGGTGCCGTTCAAAAAGAAGATGGGTGGTGCCTCCTTTCTGACCTTCCTCTCATTCTTTTCCTATCAGCCGGCAGGAAGGCTCCGCCCCCTTCCTCACTCAGCCGGTCGAGTGTCTTTCAAAGGACACTGCTATGTGTGTACGCACCCACCACACTCTAGGAATGCAGTAGTGCTCGCGGGCTCTCGCGCGCGGGAAGGGTTGACTGGCGGACCGCTGCTCACTTCTGCTCACTGTTGGTGACCCTTGTCCCCACCCACTTTCACATGCCTCACACACCCATACAATCGTCCTTTTCCCTCCGCTCAAGCCCTTCCTTCTTTTGCGCACTTGTCAGCTGAGAGAAAGAATTCGCGCGCGTGTGCGTACCTTTTTTTGTTCCTTTTCGGTGTTCTTTTTTACCTCATTCTCGGTCGCCGCGCTCCGCTGAATCCTTCTCAGCTGACCTATCTGACCGATTCAAAAGACAGGTTCTTTTGCTGTCTTAGTCACTATAAAGCAGCTCATTCAACCCACTTCGTTCCTGTCAGTTCCGCGTGCATTTTCTCAATTTGTTGCAAACACAGAGGCTTTGATTGCTTTTGATTGGTCTCTCTTTATCATTCTCGCGCACACCTCCACCTCTCTCTTACCGTCAGTCCCGTTTTGAATTGCAAATATAATTTTTGCAAAGAGATGAACTCTCTTTTGATTATCTTTCTCCGCGTTTTACAGTCCCTAGAATATAGTTTTCCATTCCGTTTCCGCTCTTCTTTTCCGGTTACTAATTCTTTTATTTTTCCTGTAATCCACATTCCTTTCTGTTTTCACTCTTATCTTCATCATTCTTCTTTTATTTCCTTTTATACAGTCATGAGAAAAGAATTCATCCGAATATATCTAGATAATAAATTGGTCTTCGGCGCTTTTTGTTTTCTCTCAATCCATCTAATGACGTCCATCTATTCTTTTATTTCCTTAAACTGAATAAATAACAGTAGCAAAATTCCTTATAGTATTTTTGTTGATCTTAACTTTTCATCATTTTTGTAAGAATCTACAAATGTCAAGAATTCACATTATACGAACACTACGCAATCTAATGTCTTTGTTCTTCTGTCATCTTCCAGTTTTGCGCAATCCACAGTCAAATTCTTCTCCATCTTCCACTTCATCCTCTTCTCACACATGTTTTTTATAAGCCCGACGTCATCTGTCTTTCCCTCTCCACGCACTCGCACGCACCCACCCCACTCGTTCACTGACGTGTTATAATTGCGGCTTGGCATCGTGCCAGGCTTTCGAAATCCTCTCTTCTTCTTCTCTCCGTCCGGTCACGTGCGCGCGAGACAAGCGCGCACCCGTCTGCCGCTTCTTTACCGCCTCCTACTTCTCTTCATTCTTCTTCTATTTCTCTTCTCCCCGGCATTCCTTTATTTTTTTTTCCTTCCCGAGGCCCCACCCACTTTTTTGTGCCCGCCCTTCCACCTTCTCTTCTTTTTTTGTTCTCTTTCTTTTTTCTCTTTTGGCGCCGCCCTTTCCTATAGGTCTGGTTAAAATTTCGAAACTTTTCGTAAACTAGTGACGAATGGGCGGGGCATAAAGAGAAAGAGTTTTCGGATTGAATGGGGAGTATAAGTTTTTGTTGTCATGTGTCCCCGATCGCCGTCCAGTATTGCTCTTCTTCTTCATCTTCTTCCTTCACGTCTTCTACTCCATCATATTTTTGTTGTGGGGTGGTCCATCGTAGTAGTACCAGTCCCATGGCTCATCTCAAAAACAACAAAGTTGTTGGCATCTTGCCAAATGCTCCACCCCTTTTCGCTCCCTCCGTTCGTCTGTTTTTTCTTTTCTTTCGGGCGCTTCTTCTTCTTATAGTCAACGCCGTCGTATTCTCTCACTAATCACATATTCATTTCTTGTTTTTCCGCGTTGCGCGCTGGCTGCGCCCATCGCATTCTCGTGTTCATCACGAGTCTTCTGAATCCTCGTGACTTCTAGAAACCCCTTCTGAAATCCTCATCTCATCATGTTTATTTTCCATTCAAGTCATTATGTTTATTTTCAGAAACTCACCCGACCAAGCTCAACTAGCGTTGGATGAGATGAATCAGAAAAATTCCCGAAAAACGTCGACACGAAAGGTGCCGGCCCAGATTACCGATCTTCCGGATCGTGCACTTGGTATCATCTTTGCAAAGTGAGTTTTTATTTATTTTTTTACATAGTTTCGTTACCTGGAGTAACTGATTAGAAAACAATGAAGGTGGGGAACGAGTGCTCTTTTTGGTTGCTGATAACGGAAAATGGCAACATCACCTATTCGTATCTTCATTCGTTTTCTTTCCACTTTTTCTTTTATCATTTTCTTTTCTTATATTGAACCAATTCATTTTTCAGCTGCTCTTCTACTGACATGACTCGGTGTTCCCTTGTCAATCGGAAGTTCCGCGAGTTCATTGAGGATCTGGAAGATGAACGTTCTGAATCGCTTCGATCCAGTCAGAAGGCCAAGATCTTCATTTGCGACCGTAAACGTGCTATTCTCGAAGGTGTAAGCACCATCACACCAACTCGTCTTGCCAGAACACCAAAAAATAGTGAGTGCTCTGATGCTGGATCTACATCCTATTCCTCAATCGCTTCCACTTCTTCATCTGGAGCTGGAAGCCTTGGCTCAAGCTCAAAAACTAAAACGAGAAAGCAGCAAGCTGAGCAAAAACAAGATTTGCGCAGGAGGAATATCAGTGATCGAACCAAATCCACAACAACATCCGACGACAGTTCTGGATTCCATTCCAAAGCCACCGCCTTCATCAGCGATCAGTATTCTGATCCAATTAATCCACACTGGGCGTTCGATTTCGATTTCGCACCATGGCTCCAAGAGTATGATGTAACGGAGGTCTTCTTCAAGAACTTCTGCTCATTCCTCGAACGCGAGAAAATTGAAGATCCGATGTCCCCGAGTTCTTATAAGGGAAGAACCGCTTTCTATGAGAACCATAATCGAGATAACGCTAACGCAGCATCACTGGCTGAATGCCAAATCACTGATCTGTCTGATGATTCCGTCAAAGAATTGAAATCCCAATCAGCAGGTCGTATTGAACGACTCGTGGAAAGACTCGCCAACATCCGAAACGCTCATTTCACTTTCAAGGACTCCATCTGTTACGGGGCTCGTCCTCCAGCCACCATCTTCTACTTCTTGTCATTGATGCGCGAGAACTTGCGTGCTATTACTTTTGATCATGTGCAATCTGCAACTAAGATCGAACTGCACAAAGTTCTCACATTGGAGAACATCAATAAATTGACTGTGAATCAGCCACAAGAAAGGCAAAGCATTTTTGTGAACGAGGAACTTTTCAAAGATTGGATGAAACTTGCTGATCCAGTACGGAAAGTTATCTCCGTCCATCTGATAGGCTGCCAGGAGTTCCGCCCACAAAATCTCTACGTCGTGGTTCAAGAATGGCTGAAGCTCGAGAAGCCAGTGGAGTTCAAGCAAATTTCCATCGATGGTGGGCCATACAAATACAACGATTTCATGGACCTCATCGAACGTCTCCATGACGTTATCGAGCAGGCTCCACCACGCAGTCCGACAAATCGATCATTTGGAAAATCACCAAACGAGCATACAGTTGTACTCGAGAGAACATGCCAAATTCCACATCCAAAGGACCGAAGATTTGTCATTACTTTCAAATACTGCAAGCTATCAAGGTAAGTTATCGTCTTTAAAAAATCTGATCAATCATTCATTTTCCTATCTTCAGAAAAATGGTACTAGCCATCGAGAAACACAATTCTCCAGTTCCACGGACAACACTGTCACCAGTTCCCGCATTGACACGTCTCATTCGTCCACAGTCTGCTGCATCTGTGATCTCATCGCCAGTTCGCAAGCTCTCTGCTTCACTCAAATCAGGATCACCAATTCCCACCAATAATAGCAGTGGACGCCAACGTAAGAACTTTTTCTTCTGAGATTCTCCCATCATTCACGATCCAAACCCCGTATTTTTCCAACATTTTATTAACTGTTTTTACTTTCAGTTGGACGCCCACTCTCCCATGATCCACTTCTTATGACAGGATGTCGTGAGAACGCAGGAAGTAATGTCTTCACACGAATTGTCAGCTTCTTGGGCACATCGAGTTAGGCGTTGCATAGCACCTGCCCCCTTCCACTCCCTTCGATACCCTTTTGTATATAAAAACACATGTAAATATTGGTTAAACTACACACTTCCACATTTTTTGGCTCTAATGTTTGTACCTTAATCATCATCATCACCTCCACACCACAGCTTTCTTTTGCACCCTTCTCCAACACTCCCACAATATCTTCACCATGACATATATATTTGAAGAGTTTCTATTTTTCTCCTCCCCACTTGTATGTATAATCATCATGATATGATAACTTCTATATAGTCGTTGTCGTGAAATGTTGCAGCTGAGGAAAAATCCTATTCATAGAATTCTACTAATTGTTTGTTTTTTTTTGTATATTTTCCTAAGTTTTAAGTTTATGTGTGTGACCAAGTCAACGCCTATCCTTTTCCTCTCTCTTTCATTTGTTACCCTGTATTATACAGTAGTCTAATTATAGGGCAACTCAATCTTTCTTTCATTCTCAAAGGCTGACTTGAGAAGGCCTTTCTTCCCCAGGAAGGTTTTCATTATTATCCCCCATAGGACCCTAGTATTTATGTACAGTATACCCAGGTTATTTTAAAAATCCCTATTCCACTTGTTATTTGACTCCCAATTGCTCTTATCTACTTTGCTGCTCATTGACGCCTCACCCGAAGAACTGTACGTTGTGTTATGATGGTTTTAATCGAACTTTCTCCTCATCCCGATTTATTGTGGTCCGGTCATCCAGAACCCTACCGGAGAGACCCCCATTGTTTATATCCCCCAAACCTTTCCCATTTCCCCTTTCAAAAATTCCTTTTCCCGGTTTTCGCTCTCTTCTATCCGCACCCAAAAACAGTTCCAGTACCGATTGTCTGTTGTTTGCTCATATCCCAATTTTCTCTCTATCCCTGTCCTAAGAAAAACTTTATCGAACGTATTATACCCTCTGATGATGTCGCTATCGGCTTTCTTTTTATTTTATTCCGCAATCCCAATGCTGAGAACCCAGAAATCTATCGAGAAAAAAATTCCCAAAAATGCCAAAAAATGTGCGAATAAATAATTTTATTTATGTAAAATCTGTGTACTGTTGATGTTTCTGCACTTTTCAACAAAAAAAAACGGGAACCAATGGAATTCGGATGAGATGAGTCACATCAAACGTTTGGAGATCCTAATTCGATGATTCGTTCCGAATGACTTGAACTGTGATCGTCGTCTGGCGATTCTTCAGCGAATCTTTGGAATTCAATGTGACTTCCAAAAGCGTCGACGACGACGTCATAATCAGAATCGTCTAGTTTTGTGGGTATGATGACATCGGAATAGTGGGAAGAGGACGTCGTTCGGTTTTTCAGTGTCGATTGGCGACAATTGAAACGGATAATGGTGTTGGTATAAAGGACATTTGTGAGGAGAAAAAAGAAGAGGGATTTGGAATTCTTTTTCTATTTGATTGTACTTTTAGAGAAGGGAGGTAGAAATAATGCAATTAGAAAACCAAATGGGGGTTTAGGTTTCGAAGGTTATTGGTTTTGGAAAACCGTTGTTCAGTGAAACCCGCCAAAATTCAAATTCGAATTTGAAGTCAAATCAGAATCTTCTAAATCCTCAAAACCATATTTGTAAACGGAGTCATGGCGGGCCTTTGCTGGCCCCGCCATAGTTTCTTTTAGAATCAATATTTTTGGACCAACTGAATCAGATATGGTAGTTGTAAGCCATACGATGACTGATCCAGACCGGGCCGAGCCCTGCCTGTTTTTTCAGCTCATTTCGTCTGTAACTTTGTTTTTAGACAAGATACAGTTAGTTCCAAATAGTATCATTTCGTACGACTCGTTGAGTTCTTTCATATCTGATTTAGTTGGTCCGAAAATATTGATTCTAAAAGAAACTATGGTAGGGCCAGCGAAGGCACGCCAGGGCCCCGCTTTTTACAAGTATGCTGAAAACAAATCCCATCTATTTATCTCTTGAAACTCAAGAAACTTCTTTCTGGAGCCAGGTGAAACTTATTGTCAGGCACACAGAAAACCCACATGATTTATGTGACAATGACTTCTATAAATGGTTGCAACACCACACAGAAAACTATGTCTCTTATCAATTTGAGATGCAAGCTAAAATTAGAATGGTCGCCGCTTATTTTTATCAACAGTGTCTTTTTAAAAACACAGCGATAGTTAGCATATTATCAAAAATATCGTTCGAAGATTGCAAATTTTTTGTTTGTTGTCTAATTGTTTATTTGATAGTCATCTGACGGAAAATAAATTTTTATAAAGTTTCAACCAACTACGGTAATCCTTTGTGGTATTTCTAACATACCCAAGGTATACCAGAGTATCGTAAAGCTACTGCATCTTCAACTCCACCTCTTTTCTGATTAAAAAGAACCGTCTGTAATACTACATGGATAGCTGAAATGCCAGGAATTTTTATTTCCGGCTTTCTAGTTCGAAACTTTGCTGCCGACTTGCGACTTCCGATTTCAAAAGTTTTACTTCCTGTCATCTCTGATGGATATGACAAAGTTCATTCCAGCTATTCTTGAAAACTTGTGAATTGACAGAATACGAAAAATAGAACAAGAGGATTATGAGTGGAGACACAAGAATCGTACTCGATTAGTTCTAGTGATATAAAGTACAAAACTGTCAGGTGACAGGCACGTTTTGGCTTGTACTTGTTCCATTTTCAGAATTCGTTCGCGGGTACGAATATATGATATAGAAAAGCTGAAAACAAAAGTTCCAACTCTGAAATCGTAAACAAGTTTATTACAGAATTCTGATATACCTTGAACAAGAAAAGAGGGGTTGATTTGAATTTGCATAACGTCCAGGTTTACTTTCCAATGAAAGTAAAATGTAAAGAAAGGGGTTTGCTAAATTTTTCCGAAATCTCGCCAAATTAGAAACAGCGTAAAAACTGTGATAGAAGAGCTCCCACACTGTCAAGCCTAAGTTACTTTTTCTTGGCTCCTATGCAAGGTATTGACAAAGTTAGGGGGTGCTTCTATTACAGGTTTTACGGTAGTCTGTTTTATATTCCAGAAAATTCGAAAAGTGATATACAATTTTCAATGCTGGTTGGAATTGAAAAATGTTTCAAAAACTTTCTTAGAACATTTCCGAAATGAATGTTTTAAAGAGTTTTTAAGAATTATTTTTTGAAGCGGTTTTTAGATGTTTTGCAAATTCCTGTTGAATTTTTGAATTATTTTAAACGGATAATGTACTTTTCTACACTTATCACTGCACTAATCGTTGGTTTTTAGACGGTGTCCCCTTTTAAGGATTCAGCAGACTGCCCGATTTAATTGTATTCTTTCTTTTCTCTATGATCCGAACGCATTATTTTTTTCTTAATATGCCCAAATTGACTGTATAACCTCAAATACCGGTCACTAAACGCTCGATTTCATAAACGGCGTATAAAGCAATTACGTTGGGATTATAACGGTTATTCAACTCTTTCCGTCGTACTTGATGTTTGAGTAAGTTGATCCATGTAAAGTACTTTCATAAATCCAAAGAGTCTACAACAAATATCTGTGATTTGTTTTGTATGATTTGTGGGTAAACATAAAAAGGGAAGCGCATTTTTTGCTGGATGATGACTATGAGAAAATGTGACCGAGTGTGTGACCGGGAAGAGTGTCTCGAATTCCACTTGTCCAAGATGATGACACATTTCGAAATCTTGTTTTTGTTTTGAAATAAAATAACTCCCTATGACTAACAACTCATGTGTCTGTTTGTCTGTTAGTCTAGTGGTTTTGATTGACAGACAAAGGGCAAAAAGATATATCCAGAAACACGTGTTCAACAGGACATCTCTCCGGGGGGTATTCCTACAACTTTACGGGGCTAAATGGAGAATTTTCGGGAGAGAAAATCAGAGTCAGGTGATTTTGGAATTTCACTCTCGAAAGTGCAAGGAATCTGAAAAGTTTGGGGATGACAATTTTGGAAAAAATGCTGGAAGTTAGTCATGTGATTGGTTTCAAAGGTGACTCCAAAATGGTTGCGATCAAGTGCTCAAATTGAGAAAGAATTCTTCTATAGGGATTTTTAAATGACAGAGATTTAAAACCTTAAAGAATCAAATAGCAGAAAGTTCCGAAGTAGAAACATTATTTTAAAACTGGAATCAACTTGGAGAACGCCATATTTTCTCAAGCAGAAGCCCACTCAAACCGTCAAGTTTGACCTCAATCATCTCGATTTTTGTGAGAGATATCAAACATTTTTTAATTGATAAAATGTTGGTGATAATGAGCAAAATAATTTATCAGTTGACACATTTCTAATATCTTTCACATAAATGGAGATATTCGAGCTCAAATTGACCGTCTGGGTGGGCTTCTATTTCATGAAATACTGTATAAAGTGTTTTTACAGTACACTTGAATGCATCGAAATTATTAAGATTAAGGTGCTACTCAAGATTCATAGTGCGACTGCAAAACACAAAAAGTTTAGAAACTCTGAGCAAACAGAGACTGTGATAGCACGCACTAATGAGCTTCATACATATTTTGGGTTTATACACTGCACACTTTTTCTGGAATCCTGGAATCCAACAGCTCCTACTTTATCTGAGGTTTTCTTATCAAAGTTTGGCCCTTTACAAATCCCGAGTTCTGAGTTCATACTTCAAACTTGCAAATGTCTAAACTCCAAACGTTCATTTCACATCATCCATTCATTTGCCCGCTCCATTTTTGATTTTTTGCCTTTCCAGAGAAACCACCAGAAACCCATTATTCATGTCTGCTAGGCGAGGGCGGCGAGACCAGCCTTTTTTCTCATTTGAGCTCCTCACTAGACGAATTCAGAATGTTTTTCTCTCTCTCTCTTCGAACCTCACGTGCCTCTTCCGACTCCCGCCGTTCCCCACAGCAACGAATCACGTTGGTCGTCTGACTGTGAGATTCATGTGACTGGAAAGCTGAGATGGGAAAGAAGAGGAAAAAAGGGAAAGGGAGCCACTTTAGTTATATGCAAAATGAAATTTATAACGTCAACCGAATAGAGGGATCTGACGAGGAGCTCACGTCTTCAAACGAACATGGAGGGAAAAACAAAGGGAAGCTTTGTTCGATTGTTGAGAGGGAATAGCTAGAGCTGAAAAGTAAATTTGGCAACTTAACAATAATCCGAATTCCGAACGGTTCTTTTCAGATTGTATCTAACCCTGGACCATAAATCAATCTTATAAAACGTTCTCATCTCTTGATCTTCTAGTCTGCATTTTTGTAGACTTCCAATTCAATCGAAGTATATCAGTTCCCACACCAAACTAGATTTTCTTTGATCTCTCTTTTCCATTTACATATTTTATCGTCTGTAGCTTGGCTGAATGGAAGATGTACAGACTAGAGACGGGGCAGATCATTTAGGAGGGTAATTATAGATAGCGGCAAACGATTCGAAGACAATTGCCCTTGGTTATGTAGTGTGTTTCGATGGTCATACGGACCTTATGTAATGGTAATAATTCCGGGAAGTTTATGAATGGGGGAACTCGATTCCAAGAATTGGTCAAGCAAATGTTCCTGATCGAAGATCGCTTGATCATTCGAGTCTCCAGGTTGTAAAAACTTCAAAAAGGGACGGAAGAATGTAGAAAACGTAACACGTGATCATAGAGAATTGAAAGTCAGCGAGCTGTCAATGTTAATTTTTATCTCTAACCAGGTTGTCGGCATCAAACTGGAATGAAAACTTTTAAAACTTACAATGAACGAAAAAGCGAAAGAGGGAATGAACGAAAAAGCGAAAGACGAAAAAAATCTTTAAAACATCCGAGTTCTATTCTGAGTTGTAGGAAGAGCTGCAATTTGCAGAATACGTATAAATTTAAGGACTCCGTGGGGTTCGGAAACTGCTTATCATATACGCCTTATTTATTTATGCCGTTAAACCGGTATTAGATAGGCCGGCGTTTCTAGTTCCAAGGTCTCTCCGAAGAGCCCTTCTATTTAAAGGACACTTCAATATTTTTTCTGGCCTTTTCCAAACTTGTTATAGAAAAAATAAGTGAATTATTGTTAAAATCATATGGAAAGCTATTAATTTCACAAAAGTTAAAATTTGAAAAAAAACTTTGTTTCAACAAGTTTTTGGGAATTTGTAGAATGTTCGGTGTGTTTTTCACTGATAGTGAGAACGTCCGGAACTATATAATTTGAAGCAATTTTGAGAGGCCACTTTTTTACAAGGGCACTGTAACTTTTCCAAGCCGGTCCTTTTTATTAGAGGGCCCAAATACATGTTTTATTTTTGTATTAGAGGTTTTTGTTTCTGAACCAACATATCTAAATCAGCGATGTGAGCAACGGAGTTAACAAGAACGAAAAAGCAGTTCCTGAATCTCGAAATGCCGAAGAAATCCATCTGATTCGTACTTCTTTTTTTCAGAGACTCAAGACTATAAATTCGGAACAGTTGCATTATTGCTGAAAAAGTTTCCAATGATTTTTCTCCTTAAATGTGAAGAGCAGACAGAACGATATGACCCAGGTGAATGGGTCTGCCTTGCGAAAAACTTGTACCTGAGGAAACGCTCTTTTATTTACCAATCTAAACTCTTCCTCAGTTTTTCGCAACTGTAAATAAAATTTTTTGTGAGATTTCTAGAGTTAATTTTTCAACTGAAACCTTGCTTTAGGGATCAAACTTTTCAAAAACTCGCCTGAACCAAAAAAAAAAAGAAAAAAAAATGTTACCGTATTTCCTCTAATAGAGGCCCATGGGCTTCTATTTTTCAATCTCCTTTTCGGGGTGAAAAGAAAAAAACAGCACGAGCAGGGTGGGCTTGAATTAGAGGTGGGCTTCAAATCATACTTGTAAAATTCCCCGCCAGACCCCGGGCCAGTATCAAAATCCTGTATTTTTGGGCCAAATGTTGAGCTCTCAATATGATTTTCTCTATTTTTTTGTTGTTTTAATTGTTTGTCTGTTTAATTGAAAAAGATAAAAAACTCGAAAATAAAATTTTGATCGAAAAAAATCACATAAGGGTCCCCCCCCCCCTCCCCCTTATGTGTTTTTTGATATTCTCAAAACTTGTGAAATGGCGGGCCCGCCGGGCCTGACCGGGCCTTTGAAATTTGGAAAAAAGCCCGACTTGGTTTTTTGTTTAAAACTAAAAATAAATATTAAACTTTTCGAAAAAAATTCAAAATCAATCAGATTTTGTACAAGCAGCGGTACCGCCCGAGATTTTGCATGTATGCTCTACAGTAATCCATACAAGTCAGAGTTGATTGTTTTTTACATCATACTTTTTTCATCTATTTTTATTTCACGATGAGCAATGCCTTGAAGAAATCAAAAACCTCCGTCGTTCTTGTGATTTCTTTTAATTATATTCTTGTGAAAACGATGACAGTTTTTTTTAAACCAATATACATTCTTTTATTGAAGACCCGCTTCAACGGTTTCAAATATTAAAATTAAACTTTACAATTTGTTAGACAATCTGATTCTGAAACAAATGGAAAATGTTAGGAACGGGGGGGGGGGGGGGTTTCAGAAGACGACGAAAATGAATATGCATACAGTTGATATCGATTTTTCGGGGGGTTGATTGGATACAAATACAGAAAAATGAAGAGGATACAGATGCTCAATTGAAGTCACTCGAGAGACACAGATTTCACAGATAAACTTTTTTTCAAATTGGGAACCGGATGGATTTAATGGAAACAGCTAAAGGGGAAAAAATGGAAGAGAAATGAAACAGGGATAAAAAAATTAGGGGGACCCGGGACAGAAAAAAGTGATGGACTATATGGAGACTAAAATCAGGGGGATCATAGGATGGGGGAAAAAATAAAACTGAACTGCTCCAATCGTATAAAGCTAGAGATGAGAGGGGGAGGGGGGAGGAACTAGACGAAAAAAGATATTTATTTACAGCATTCCACGACGGAATCGTTTTTGAATCATTGGTTGTGGTTTCTGTTCAATTTTAATATTGGCCATTCCTGCGAGATTGGCAACAAAGTTGTTCTGTTTCTCAGCCAAAGCTGCATCCATCACAAGTTGGGATTGTGGTTTTAGGATCTGGAAATATAACACATGTTGTCTCGATCCAATTTGATTCAAATTTACCTGGAAGGAGCATAAAAGGTTCTCGTCAACATTCATCACTGCTCCAGCATTGTCGAACTCTCCGCAGTAATTGGGTGCGGAAAATACAGTAACCAATCCACGTCTTCCGAAGAATTCGTAACCGTCTTCTACGACTTGGTGTCCTCGAACCACAATATCCAAATCCATTTTTTGAAGGAACTGAGCAAGAACATCCACACCGAATACATAACTGACACCTCTTTCATTTGGTGCCCATCCAACGACTGTTGCATCTGGATCAGACCAGAGAACATCACACAGAAGACCAGTTTCCTGAACATCACATGGACGAGAGAGTCGTTTCAATTGGTCGAGAGATCGAAGATTCGGAGAAAGACCACCGTGGCAGCAGAAGATTTTGTTATCGATGAGAGCGGCGACTGGCATACAGTTGAACACATCTTGGAAGCATTTCCATAGTTTTACACTGTATCGTCTTTTGCCTGAAAATTGTCATTTGGAAGAAATATCATAGTTTAAAAAAGTCGTCACGGTTTTTTTCTATACAGTTTTTCTTTACCGTACCGGCCAGTTCAGATCTGAGTACCCAAAAATTTTTTCTAAGATAATCTTGTCAACTAATAAAATATGTGTGATCTTATGATAAATAATTTGTCAGTTGACAAGTTTCTGATATCTTACACAGGAATCAAGTTAATTAATTTCAAAGTTGATGGACTGGGTGGGCTTCTATTAAAGGAAATACGGTGTGCTAATAGAAGCCCACTGAGACCGTCAACTTTGAGATGAATTATCTCGATTCCTGTGGAAGTCAGAAACAATTTGTCAATTGATAAATTATCTATTATGATATCAAAAATATTTTATCAGTTGAGAAGTTTTTCGTATCTTTCACAGGAATGGAGATAATTGAGGTCAAAGTGCTCTGGGTGAGATTAGAAGGAATGTGGTAATCTAAATTACTCATTTCGGTATCGTAGTTCTTTTTCCTTCAATTATATTTTCCCTATTCCAATCCGGATACCTAATCCAGATCATCTGTATCTGTTATCCAATCTGTTTCTATCAATACATGCCCATTTCCATAATAATAATATGAATCGGGGCAAGAGATGCATATGTTCCAGCCACTTACATTCGTCATAAAATCCATAAATCCTATTGAGATTGGCCACTTCGTGATTGCCACGCAGCAAGAAAAAGTTGTTTGGGTACTTGATTTTATAGCACAACAACAAGACGATCGTCTGAAAATCAAAATCCGTTGTTTTTTGGTCAATTTCTTCTTTCAAGGTGTTTGTGTTTTTTTTTTCGATTCGCCAGACTATTTTCTCTGGGATTGAACATAAACGAAGGTAATTATGGGATTTTTCGTTCATTTCCTTCTCCTCTTCCTCATTTTGATTCAAAAGAAAAAAATAAACGGCAGAAATTTTGTCACATTTCTATGAATAGGATGGCGTAGAAAGTGAAAGAAAAAACAGAGTGCGTCCGATCGAACATATTGTTAATCGCGTTGAAGAAGACGTCAGTCATACGGGACTGACCGTCAAATTTAGTGAAAAAAATCGAATGACTCATGATTTATTATCCTTTCGGCGAAGGTATATTATAATAAGATTTTGAAAATGGACAAACCTCAATGCTTTTCGGTCCTCGATCCACATAATCTCCCAAGAAGAGATAATTTGACTCTGGTGGGTAACCGGCAAGATTGAACAGACGAAGAAGATCAGCGAATTGTCCGTGAATGTCTCCTGGAATATGAAGAAGTTGAATAAGAGGAGCATGTGAATCATAAGCTACAGTAAGAGACTAAAAGTCATTAATCGAAATGAGCCTCTAATTTCCGTTCCGATCTAACAACTTCCGATTTTATCATTCATCTAACAAATCAAAAATCGGATACATTTTCTGATCCAGATATCAGAAATCTATTTTTTTTTCCATTTTGCTTACCTCCAATTTTAAGAGGAGGCTCCAACTCCAGAAGCATCGGTTGATGCATGAAGATCTGTCTGGCCAAAACACAAACCATTCGAATTTCATTCTCAGTCACATCCAGTGTCTTATGCCAGGGTTTCACGGATACCAGCGTCGAAATCAGTTGGTCGATATTGAGCTCTCCAAAGCTTGAAGATGAATTTTTACGGCGCATCATCTGGATTTAATTGATGCTGAATACATTTTTTATTTCTGATGAAGAGGAGAAACAAAGAAAAAGAAGAATAGAACGAGAGAACTGTGAGTAAAAAAAAGAAGTGAGGTTATGGCTGATTAAACTCAATGCTGCTGGGTCTGAAGTTGACCATAAATGGAAAAAATGTAGGTGTCGGAAGGTGAATCAAAATTGAAAGGATGAGAGAGTGAGATCAGACAAAGAGACCTAGGCAGTGAGAGAGGTTTTTGGGCGCGGTCGGAAAGAAGAAGAAGACTTCAAAGTGATTTGATGAAATGACCACAATTTTGAAGACCACCATCAAATCACAAAAAAGTGGGAGACAGAAAAAATGACAGAACTGATTAGAGAATTTTTTGCAAAGATAGGTTCAGAGAGAATTCGGTGTTGTTTGGAAAATTTTGTTTTTGGTAGAGATGGAAGTAGAAGAAGAAACTGGTATTTGAAATCGAGAAAAATGGGCGGAGTCTAGGGGGAAAATACAGAGAAAAGGAGGAGAAAAAGAAGAGGAAGAGGTGCACGATTAGTCTCCGAGAGGACGTTTGGATTATCGAAAGTGGAACACAAGCGGCACCTTTTCCCAGGCAGGCAGTTACTAGGATTTCTACCCAAAAACGGAAAAGAACTGATTTGCATACTGTGTAGGTGGTAGAATAGAGGAAGAAGACGTGAGTAACGGTGGTCAGTGGGAGACCGATCGGATTGAAGAGCGAATTGGTTGTTTTTGGAATTGAAATGAGAAAAACAGTTGGATGTTTTTGCACATGTACAAGGTCGGTTGAGTATATGAGAGAATGTGTGTGGTCGGAATATTTATGAGAGTATTTTAAAAAACAAAAGAAAATGAGAAAAGTCGTTCATGGAATATCGAGACGAAAAATAGAAGATTGCGAATTCATTGAACCCGTGAAGAATTGAAAATTGAAAAGTAAGGATCTACAAAAGAAGAAAACCTTTCAAAGGAAACAGGAATTCTGAATAATTCTGGGTTTCAGAATTTTGAATTTTCGAATCGAACGAGTAGATTTCCGGTTACAGAACTTGAGTTGGCGAATACAAATTCGAGGTTCGGAAACCGGATTCAAAATCTGGAAAAATCAAACTTTCTCTGGCAGCAAAATAAAATATTCGAGTTTGTTACAGCACCCAGAAAGTCCTCGGATCCCTTTTGTTGCCAATAACATCCAGAGGAAAAAAAACAAAAAAAAACGAGTAAACTTTGTCAACTGCAAGAAGAAAAGAAACGAAAAAAAACATTTTTCGAAGCTCATGACAACTATGGTGACACCACGGAGTCGTAGAAAAGTAGACAAGGAAGTGAAAAAAAGAAAAAAAAAGAAAAGATTCAAATGAAAAATTGCCGTAAGAAGAGCATCCTTCATTTGCGACGTGGCAGAGAATGCACCTATCTGGACGTCTCCTAAGGAAAAGAGAAAAAGAGAAGAAGAAAAAATGAAATGATCCATCATCAAAATGTGGCAGATGACGACTCCAGGAAGCTGTGCTGACAGAAACAAAAACGAAAATGCGATTTTGTAGGGGAAAAGACAAAGAAAGGGAGATGCTGTGAATTGATTCACCGGCATTCTGGTGGCCTGGAAAGAAAGTTGAAAAATAAAAGGAAAACATGACGTGTAGAAAATGAGAAATTAAATCGGAAGAGCCGGATCATCTTCAGGATTTCAGGAATCAAAATGTTCCTATAACATCATAAAAAAAGATTAATGAAGGTTCATAAAATTAATCCAGAAGTAACGATATTCGAGTCAAATCACCGAACTATTTTAAAACTAATTCAATGCCACAAACTAAACAGTAATCAGTTTTCTGAAATTTTTCGGTCGAACAGTACGCATTAAAATAATTAGATTAAATAAATTTCCATCAAATTGGATTGAAAATCAGCACTCATCGAATTGATGGGCGGAGTGAAAACTATTATTCTGGTACAAAAAATGGGAGCTGTGGAAGAGAAACGACGAGCAAAAGTCCCACGACGAAAACTACAGTAACCTAAGAATGTTTTGATTTTTAGGATTTATTTCTCGTTTTTCACCGTTTCTCCTCGAGTTTTTTATGTCATTTTTCATCATAAAAATCGGAAGCCACCGGCGTTTTGTACCAGAAAAATAAGAAAACAGAAAAACGACAAGTGAAATTGAAACAATTGCCAAGAGTCGATATCAGAAACTCAATTGAAACAATCCAAGTTTTGTTCTCATTTCTGTGTATTGGATTGAAAGAGGATAAGAAGACGACGACACACATGTTTCGACAGTTGCTTCTCGGTGCGATCTGTGCTCTTTTTGTATAGGGGAATCAATTTTGCCACATGTTTTGAGAGGAGAATGAGAAAAAATGTCTTCCTCCCGGCACATTGGCAAAAAAGTTCTCTTACTCTTGATCTCATATTCTTTTCACTCCTCAGTCAACTCGAAAATTCATTTTCTGAAAAAAAAACGTCAAAAAACAGAAAACGAGGAGGAGGTGATTCTAGAGGAGTGTCTTAAATTCTCTCATCAAGATGAATAAGTTATAAGTGTATCCCCTCCTACCTACATTCGGTTTCGACGTCTTCTTTTTTAGTATCTCTGTGACATCATTTTGATCTTCTTATAAGCGAACCGAATCAGTGAAAAAAGGAAGAAGAAGAAGATGGAAGCGAGGCTTTGAACAAGGAAAAAAAAGATGGTCGCCGTGTTTTGGAGCAAAAGTTTTTCGAGCAAACGTTTTTTTGTTAGAAAAAGGAAGGAAGTACTTGAGAAATTATGATTAGATCGAGAAAAAAAGTAGCTGACAGAAATGGAAAAAAGTCGTGCAGAAAGCAAAAATAAAATTGCGCTTGAAGAGCAAGATAATGAGATTCCAATGTAGATTTTAGTTCCAAGAGAATCTTGTATCTTAAGGATCATTCGAGTGGAAAAGTGTGAAAAAAGTTTAAGAAAAAAAGAGAGAAAATTGAAGTTCCCTTTTTTGTGCTTTTCCGGAATAAGGTACACATGTCCAAAGGAAAATCTGGGTGGAAAAAAAATGAAAAAAATAGGAGGAAAATGTAGTGAGAAGAAGGAAAAGAAGAAGAAGAAGAAGGAAGAAGGATTGCGGTTGCAAGTTTTCTCAGGGGATATCATGAGGGTTCGACCTTTTTTGCCACGTCATTTGACTAGCAGTTCCATGGTCGTAAATTTGGATGCAAAAACAATGGAGGTCTTGTTGGAAGATTTCGAGTTTTCGGTTTTCGAAGTTTTTAGAATCTATTGAGGAGCACTATAAAATTGCTCAATAAAAATTGAGTTCTTAATATCTAAAATATCTTCTTTGAAATTTGGAATATCAAGTGCTGGATCGTAGAAATCAGAAGGCATAGGTTAGGCGTCATCATCTCAGACAGCTCAATTGGATAAGAACCTCATAAAAATAGAAATGGGTGGATTGATATCCAGGAAAAAAGACAACAAAAAACAACACCTGACATCTGGCAGAGCTGTTAGTCTTGAAACTAACAGGCAAGTATTATGAGGATCCAGAAAGTAATTGCACGAAAACAACGGAAAAAACTTCTTCCTGATTAATCGTAACGGAAGTGACCAGAATTCTGAACGGGATACTAGCATGTGGATTGTTTTTATTCTTTCGCCTAGCCTTGAAAAATACTTGGAAGGGGTCATTTACACATAAATACCGGAAATTTGGGGGAAAGAAACACACCACAAACGCCAACACCCTCATTTCCTGCTTCTGAAGAAAAAGAGAGAAGGCAAAAAATAGAAAAATAAAAAGAAAGTTTAGTTAGTTCTTTTTTGTGTGTTTGGGACCATTGACCTGGAATCTTTGTGAAGCAGCATTCACAGAAAAAAAAACATCGGAATATCTGGTACTCAGGTTTCAAGGAACGGCATGTGTGACGACAATTTTAAGTGAAAAGAAAAGAGAGAAAAGTGAAGAGGATTGAAAAAAGAGCAGAATGTTCGAATTTGGGTGTGATGGGGTTAGTGAATACTAGTTTGGAAAATTGTAATCATTTTTGATAAGGGTTTTGAATAAAACAAAGAGAATACTATAGTAAAACTATCGGAAAAGTATTAGGGGGGTTAAGTGTGATGTTATTTTCTAGATACAATTCAAAAAAATGATAGTAGGTGTTTCTAATCAAAATTATATGTATGAACGTTTATATTGAGAAAAATCGTATCTTTAATAGAAGGGCCCTCACATTGTCAAGCTTGAGCTCAATTATCTCAATTCTCATGCAAATTATCAGAATTGGGTTAACTGACAAAAATTTCTGATATTATGATGAACAATTTATCAGTTGACAACTTTTGTATAGCTTTGACAGGAAGCGAAAAAAATCGGCTCTAACGTCATGGGGCTCTTCTATGAGAGGTTTCACTGTAGTCATGTTCCAGAATAAGATCCTATACGTGTAGTTAAAAAGTAGTTAAACTCATACTACTCAGAACTGATCAGCTCAATCAAGAAAGCTCTGAAAATATATCAAAGACACATAGATCAGGGTTATCAGACAATCAACAACAACAGGTGGCATATGTTCTACTACTCCACTTTTCTATATCAGAAACCATTTCCGACGGGGGTGCGGAAAAGTTTTTTGCGAGGGTGGAGAGGAGGTTGGAAAAATGAAATAATCACATGACATCGGAGGTCAACCCTCACAAAAATTCTCCTCACTAATCCGATGTTTGTGAATTTACCTCTCTCTCCCGTACCGACTATGTACCTCATGTACTTACCCACACAAATTACATCATTACTTCTCATAAGAAATTTGAGGAACAGGAAACTTGAACAGTAACTTTTTGAACATTGGAATTTGGAGAGAGTCAAAGAAACAGTTCATGTGTTGATGAAGTTTTAGATTTGATTGAGGAGGTCGGGACAGGATAATTTGAAAACTAAATTTACCGTAAGAACTGTAATACTGGTCTTTAAGCTCAATTCTCTCCACTTCCGTAAGGGATATC